GTTCTGCGTAAGATTTTTTTTATTTACTGTTAATTTAATTTATTAGCCCAAAGGGGCGGTCACCTAGAAAGGCTGTTAGTTTCAAAGCGGTATTTTGCGCTGTATCACTTTAAATGTCCTTGTCTCCTTGCAAATTGTTGTTACCAAATATTATCGCCCTGTATTATATTTAAAGAAATTAAATAATGAAGAATCTGCAGGAATACATGCATGTTTCTCGCACTGTGACAAAAACGACGGTATCTAGAGCTTTCAAATTTTGAATAACGTAATCCTTCAACCGAACATGGGCATCTGGACGGCCGAATTTCGAATTTGTTTAAATCTATTTCAATATTTTGTAAAACTTTAACGAATTTTTGATTAACAAACTCAACGAGTTCAAAGCGAGCAATGGTAACGCTGACGGAAAATAACATTTTTATCTCCAGCGCGGAAATTCTAAAGATATGCTGTTGAATTGAATTTTATGTGGTCTACGGGCGAAGAACATGATATTCAATAAATATAGGTAACATACAAAACATTAAAAAAGGTCCCTTTTGGGCGTAATATAAAATCTGAGTGCTTCTAGATTTTATTTTATCTTCCCTCCCCCCCTTTATTACACTCGGAAAATTTTATGCTCCGAATTTTATGAATTATTAAAATAAATAATCTACTTTAATGTTAATAATTTCATGATCATATTATCAAATAAATGATCGTTTTGTAATGTTATTATAGTTTGGAAATTCACTGCCTGAAAATGTTCATTAAATTAAAAAAAAATTATCAGATTTTGTTTAATTTTACCTTATTTATTTCAAAGCATCACGTACTATCAATGTTATTTAATTTTACTTTATTTGTACGCAAAATTACGTTAAATTTTGTGCTTAGAGTTTTTACCGTTTTACCAAAGTAAAGATGTTCGTACAAGATTTACGCGTGAAAAAATGCGTGAAATGCAGTAAAAAGTGCTTTAATGAGATATATTAAATCCTATTTGAAAAAAACTGTGACTTTCATAATCTCATCACTATACGACGTATCACATTTAATAATCAAAAACAGTTATGTGGTACAAACGCCATAGGTTTCAGTGTTAAAGTAAACCAGATCGTCCCTACTCTTTCTTGCGGACTTGTCGGTGATGCGCTCCCCGCCTACTGGGTTAGTCTGTCTCTTATAAGATCCATGCTCCACTGTAGCAGATAGCAGAAACAGAATTATTGACTATGTGAAAAAAGTTTTACACTTTTGTTGGCCTTGAACACTTGAAAACACTGTTTGACAATAATTTAAAAACTGACATAATTAATAATTAAAATTCTAATATACTCAATTTACGTCTGCATACAGTTAACTCGAGTATCAAGGATTTGAGAGAAGAGCTTTAATTTGCAGAATTTACAGATTCTTTTTTCATTCTTTAAAAAAAACTCTTAATTTAAGAACAAAACAAAAAAAAAATGAAAGCTTTCAGACTTTATATTATGCTCAAAGGGGCGTTTTTTATAATTTGCACATTACACGTTTCGAGAACATTTGGGCTAAAAAATATTTAAAAACAGTATGTTTTTAGAATTTCCAATAGGCAGTCTCGAGCGCTGGAGATAAAAATATTTTATTCCGTACAGTGTGTTCTACTGCTCGCTTTGAAATCGTTGAATTTCTTAATTAAAAATTCGCTAAAGTTTAAAAAACATTAAATCGGTAATAAAACAAATTCGAAATTCAAGATTCGGCCTTCCAGATGCCCATGTTCGGGAGGAGGACTATATTATTCAAAATTTGATGGCTCTAGGTATCGTTGGTTTTTCGAAATGCGAGAAACATGCATACAATGATGCAGATTCTTCATTTAATTTCTTTAAATATAATACAGGACGGCAATGATTTGATAAGTGATACAGCCGTTTATAGTGATTCAACGCAAAATGCCGCTTCTTAGAGACTAATAGTCCTTCTAGGCTAACGCTTCCCCCTCCCCCGAAAAAAAAAAAAACTTTTTATGTACCTAATGAAAAAAGTAGTGCAGTTTTAATGTGCAGGAAGGTCTATTCTTCATTCCAACGGCTTACAGGCATAAAACAGTCGAAATCGGCTTCGTTTGTCTAACTTGATATGCAGGTTACTTTGTCAAAGACCACACACACGACAGTTCAATGCATCCGAAAAGCAGCAATGTTTCATTTGAATCGCCCTGAAGTTAATACATGACTTCAGATTGTTATAATTTTATGTAAATATCATTACTTTTCGGTTTGATTTTTTTGCTAGACATTATTTTAATGTTAAAAACGCTCTTACGTAGTATCTTCCAAAAATTCTGAACTTTTATTATCTTAATATTATGGTTCGCTAATATGTATACACAGCTTGGCAAAAGTTGCCAATGGAAGAAATATATGATCTCTAATTCAGTTTTTTAAGCAGCCTCCTTTTCCAGAGTGTTGCCATTGCAGAAAGCGTAAGATCTTCAATTTATTTTTCACACTTAACCAGTCTGAAGTAACTGACAAAACAAGCAATATGATAGGAAAAAAAATGCATTACTTAATAATTTAGAACTTTATTTTATTTCTTAATAAGAATTTAAACTCTTGTAATTAGTTAATTTAATGAACATTTGGAAAATTATTGAAAATAATAAATGATACTTTTAACGATATATAATAAACTTTCTTAACGATATATATAATACAGAATCCTTTTATAGTTTCACATTTCATTCCGCATATTGCGTCTTAGTATGCATTATAAATTATTTACATTTACAATTATTTTATTATATTTTTTTTCCGTATATTGTATATAATTTTAGCTGACCATATACTTAATGCATTTTTGTGTGTTTAGTTACTTTATTATTTTTGGAGTTTTTTTCAGTAATGATTTAATAATTATTTTCAATAATCACAGACGTTGAAATTATGAAATAATCTGAGGATAAACGGAAACGTAGGCTCTTATTCCCCAGGTCCTGGCGACATTTTTGCCTACTGGTGGTGGCTGGGAAATTTACAGAAATAAATATTCTCTAGTTCTAAGATGTATGGGGAATATTTTGGTAAAACAAGTTTGGTTTGCGCATGGCGTTTTACCAAGGACCGCTAGGCGCAGAATTGCTAAGAGAAGGCAGGACGGGACGCTAGTCTGTGAGACCTAATATTCTCATAGACAATAATAGAATACAGACAGTCATTCTAGAGATAAAAGAAAAATTAAAGTCTAATTAACTACGGACAGTCATTCTATACTGTGAGGCAATTTTCTAACCATGTCTATGAACAAGTTTCACCTTACCATACAGTGACCGTACCTTCTCCTAATTTATCTATCGTACGGGACCAAATCCATAGCAGCACTTTCAATTAACTAAGCTGCCACCACTGGATTTGGTGAACGAACGTAAAGCATGCCGCTCAGGCTGGATCTTATTTTGAAACTATTCGAGAAGGCAAAAAGCATCTAATGTTAGTACACACATCCGAAAAGGTCCAGGATAACTCTGTTCTGTTGCAGCAGACATTTGCTTCAAAGTATACCTTAATTCAATAATGCATACCCACACCAACGTACCCACACAGATGAATCGAAAATTCACAAAAGCACTGGATGTGGCTTTTACAGCATGGTGGGACAATCAGATGCATAGTTAGATGGGCGAGGTAAATACGTCTTTGGCTTCTATCACACATTCGTTTGTTTCGGAAGAACAATTGTTTGGAACAATTTTTCTGCTTTGTCATAACAGCCAATCACCACAGATCACTTGGGGGTTAACACAGGGAAACCTGGTTCTCCATTACAAACAAGCTGATAGCTGATTGGTTCAGAACGACCAACTTGCAGTTTTTTCGAAAGCAAGGGAAAATCGCGCGTCTTTCTTTCAATAGTCGGCAGAAAAAGTGTCCGAACAGTTGTTCGTGGGAAACAAATGCATGTGCGATATGGGCCTTCCAAGCAGAACTGAAAGAAATAAGAGCAGCAATTAAGCATTCATAGCGATATATGAGTGGTCACATTTTTAGCAATTAAACCTTTGATGGCTCGATGACTAAATGCAAAAGCAGGAACCCACTTGTACAGCAAATTCAAACACTTCTCTTTGAAAGTTCACTTGGAAAGGACAATTTCCGTGCTGTCTGCCAGTGCGTACAAGCATTGTTGTGAAGCTGTGTAATATAGAACAACTTTTGTTAAGTAAAATGCTGCAGCAAATGTTGGATATACCGTTATACCAATCAGATACATTATTAAAAATAAAATAAAAGTATAAATTATCAAAAAGCGCGTTTATTGTTTTACACTACTCAGTCTGTTTCAAACACGAGTTAAAACTGTATACATTTAGATAACAAATGTAGTATAGTGTAGCGGAACAGTCTAGAAAAATGAACGTTACTAACATCAAACGTTTTTTTGTGTTACTTTCGAGACTTTTTCATAAATAACCGTTTATGTTTTCAGATATCGATAAGACTAAACTGGAATAGGAATCCTAAAAGTAATGTAGAGACAATAGGTATTTTTGAAATAGGAGAGATGAAAAATGAGCGATGCTCTCGCCGGGACTCGAACCTCTCGAATACACGCCAAGTGTGCCGACCATTGCACCACGAAGGCGGGATAAAATATCTTATATACTTCCTCTTTTAAAGGGCGACTGGGGATTAGGGGACCCAAACGCCAAATCTTGGTGGTGGAGAATCATCATCAACCACCTCTTTTAGTTCGGGCAAAACCACAGAGTCATTGGGAATTTTTAGAATCAGAAGTCATGAAAAATGAGCAATGCCCTCGCCAGGACTCAAACCTCAGACCTCTAGAATACGAGCCGAGTGTGCTGACCATTACACCACGAAGGCCTGTATTCGACAGGTCCGAGGTTCGAGTCCCGGCGAGGGCATTGCTCATTTTTCAGCTCTCCTGCTTCCAAAAATACCTAATGTCTATACAGTAATTATTCATTCTTCAGCATGTCATTAATAAAGAAAAACAAGTACTGCAGATAATCAGAAATGAATTTTATTGGCAAAATATATAACTTTTTCTCTTAAAATTTATACATGTTGTTAAAGCTGCTAAGACTAGGTGGAAGAAACAAAAAAATCACTATTCGTGTTTATTATACATAACATCGACAAAAATCACAAATCTATTCATTCGTTACTCTGCAAAAAACTAAGTTTCAATTTTTCACCCGTTGTTGATTTTAAGAAGAAATCGAATCAGACCCCTGTACAATAGTTTTCGTATGTTTATCTCAAAGAATATACACTTCTTTTTCTTAGTGTCACGATAAACATCCAAAAAAGTCATACGCGATGAACGTAATAAAAACAACAAAGAATTAATATTTTTGTGGCATCCACGATATAGTTAATATCACAACAGAGGGGGGAAATATAGAAATGACAGAAAAAAGAATGTTTAATATGAAAAATGCAACAGACAAAAAAGAAAATCTTCGTACAAAAATAAATCGTATTTCTTCTCTCAAGAAACAAAAACAAACCAAGAGCATACAAGGAAATAGTTACAATAGAACTCACACCCAAATAAGCCTGTTATTATGTTCTTTTCTGTATCGCAGTTCAGACGAGTTTTAAATCTTATTCGGAAGATACACTCTCACTTGCGTATCACTTAAACAAAAAGAAAAAGAAATAATAATAATTAAAACTATTTTGAAATATCCACTAGTATAATGTTACAAAAAGTATGACAATTCAACTCTCGAAATGGCCATGTACCTGACGCAACTCTATCGAAATGACGTAGTATTCGTGTATGAATATGTCTAACCTATTATGAGACGTAGAAGAGACTGCAAAAATCTCCTCGATCAAAAAGCCAAGAATAGTGCAAGCTCAGTGATTCATTTATTGTGACAATGCGCCAAGTCATAAAGCCATTACTTGTGAAAGTTTTCTTGGCCCAAACTAGGTCTTCCTACCTGTTCAACTGACTTACTTTCATAACATTTTAGGCTGTTTCCAAATTTGAAGGTTGCCCTCAAGGCAATTTTCTGAAGTAACTAATATTTGACAGAATATGAGACAGGTAGGTTGTTCCTAAATTTAAAGATCATTCAAGGAACAAGGAACGAAGATTTTTTAACATAATCGATATTCCACAGAATATGAGATAGGTACTTATCGATATACCGAAAATAAAGTTTTAGGCTTACTTCCAGATTCAATGTACAGACACATTAAGTTTTGAAATAGACTATTTTCAAGGGTGTATTCTGAAAATTAAATGGTCACAAAACAGTAAATAATAAAATATAAATAATCTAGTTGTGGACCCGTAAAAATGGAGACAAGCGAAAACTAATTAATAATTAATGTAATTAAAATCATAAAATTAATTTACTAATCTGAATTTGTAATGTTTTTATATTATTTAAATTTTGCGAGCTGTTGCCATGTAACTTGGAGGAAAAAAAAAAACCACGGTGTCTTTCTGCACAGGTTACGCTCTTTCTAATAAATGCTTTTCAAACTATAAATTATAACAAAAGAAGGTACGTGTAAACTCATCTACGATACATTGTTTTTCTTTGAAAAAATTTACCTAAAATAAACTCCTCGATTCAGTGCTGATTGATCAGTGTATTCTGAGTTTTAAAGATATACCCGCTGAAGGATCCTTCGGATGAAGAAAATAACAAGCATTTCATCATATATATTGCAAAGGGTGATATAAAAAAAGTAGCGACATGTTTATATATGACAAAATATTCACTCCATGTAAATATATCCTTTAAATATATTAACATCTTAATATTTATAATCTTTGCCACTTGCCATATTTCTGGAAGCTGCTGGACATCACCAACTGATGGATGCTTAAAAGAGTGCACCCCTTTATAACGGTGTGAACACCTTTATGAAGGCTGTCCCATGTAAAGCAGGATGTTGTAACAGTGCTACGGCACCATGGTATCGATAGAAGTTTATTGCTAAGGTAAGAAAGTAAGCATTGGTTTGTATCAAGGTAGGGTATAACAGGACTACGCCAGAGAATGTTTTTTACTTTGCGTTTCTGAATAATTCAGTAAAGCGGAGGAAGACGTAACAAACAAGTCATTTTTAATGCAAAATCATTTCCATTTCACAATGCAAATAATTCCTCGACATTCTTGGTTGAAAGTTCTTTTTAATTCGCAAACAGCATTATGCTATTAATATATAAAGAATAAATGCTAGTCACGTAATCCCTTATCATCACAAACCTTTTTCTAAACGATATTTTATTTTTAGTTACTTAGTAATGCAAACATTTCGCTTTTCAATTTGTGAACGGTCCGGAATATACTTCTCGATTTTATCATAAAAATGTCTCGGCCAATTTTTGCTATACGGAATTTTGGATTTTATTTTTAATAACGAAATTTCCCTAAATACGTACAGAAATCAGAGGAACATATAAAAAAGTTAGATTTCGTGATATTTATAAAATAATTTCTTTGAAATTTAAAAACGCCAAACATGAGTTTTTGCGTCATTTAGAACACTTCTGTAACTGGAAATAAATGTCTACCACCAGCGATTGCGATAATAAAAGCCCAGTAAGAACTTTTGTGAACACGGTTATGAAAATAAAAGAATAATTTTTATTTTTATAACCGTATTAATAATAAAAGAATAAAATTTTTTACTAGTTTCAAGCAGCTGAAGATAGTAATAAACGAAAAGCTTAGTTTTATTGAACATTCTAAGCAAATACGTAGAACTCAAATAATATATGAAGATTTTAGAACACTTTTAACCTCCGTAACAATGAAAAAAAACTACCATCCTGAAAGACATATTTATGAGCATCCTTATAGCCAATATAATGTATGGTACAGGAAGATGGGGCTGCCGCTTGGACGGGATAATCTGATTAAAACGAAAACTGGACTCACCGAGATGAAGATTAAGAAGATGAATGCTTGTAATTACAAGAACATGCTCGCAGTTACAAGGAGTGTCCCGACTGAAATTGCTTGCATTTTGACCAATGTACCGCCTCTCTCAATACAGTATGAATTCTACTGTAGTAAAATTTTAATAAAAAAATGACTTAACAAGTAGGATGATGTTAAGACTGGAAAAGAAATATTAAATCTCGAAGATGAAGAAAATATTCCTTCAGCAAAATAGAATGGAATTCTGCATGACAGATAATATCTGGAAAATGATTATTTATACAGAGAGTTCTGGATTTGAAAAAGGGGGCGCTGTCAACTCACCTGTACTTTTCTTCTATGAATGAGAAACAGATAGAATAAAGGCTACTTTGGAAATGGAGCATAACTATTAACCAGGTTGAATAATATACTCAAAATCAAACACTGATCTCGTTAAGAATAAATTGACAAATAAACATAAAAACAATTGACGCTTTTACTGTGGTATAGCTGCTCTCCCGCCCAAACTATCGAAATGTGCAGATTATCAACAAAGAAAAATATTTTAAATGGATTTAATAAAGTACACAAAATTCAATTATACAAGATGAAAGTTCATGCAGGTATAATATGTAAAATAAGAGAACCTACACATTACTCAAAGAAGCTGCTTGGGAGATGACTTAGAGAAGTACAAGGATCAAGAAGGACAGCCATCACTAAAAAATGTGGGACTAATGAAAATTTCTCCAAAAAATTATAAATATTATGAAATACATTAAAATATGAATATCTTTTTCAAAAGATTTTTTAATCAAGGTCTGACAGATCATAATTTATCTTAAGTAAGACTCCCGGCTTACATAAGAAGACCTCAAGTTCAAAATCAAGAGAATTGCTTGGCTATAAGGCAAACGGAGATGTTAGGCACTTTGTCAAAACCCGAAAAGCAAGGAATTCTACTGCTGATTTTAGTGCAGAAAATGTTTTAAAAGATTATAATATAGCAAAAACGTTTGAAGAAGAAATAATGAAATTTTAAATATAAATAAATAGTAGCTTGCATAGAAGTCTGAATGAAACTGCTTTTTTTTTATTATTATTTGAGTAAAAGTTTACATTTTTTTAACTTCTACGTAATTTATTTAATTAACGTACAGTTTTTTTATTTACTTACATTTGTAATTTATTTAATTTACGAGAAATACTTACCAGTCCAGTTGTATAGATTTTAGTTCTTTTATTTTTACTATTACTCAGAACTCATGTTTGGTATTTATTAAGCAGAATAATTTAGAGATTTAGGTATTTTCTTACCAGAGAATAAATATGGAATTAGTAATAGTTGCATACGGCCGGGTCGTTGGATGCCCACGTTTGTTGGATAGACAATGCTCCGAAATAGAGGCAAAATTTTACTAAATGGGCTGGAACTTTGCTACTGTCTGTCTACGAAAAGAAGAGCTCCTGCCACAGTGTCTGGGGGGATGGCGGTCGCTATACCAACAGGGCTAGTATATTTCAAATAGGGGCCAACCAAGGGTTGCCAATTCATCTTTAAATGCGCCAAGATGGCAAATTGAAAAACCCTCTACAGAAAATGGGTCAAAGATCGTTTCTACGGCAACAGACAGGTGCAAACTAATTGGCGAGGAGAACTTTTCTTATGATAGATACACTGTACTAAAAATACTCTGTTTGCATAAATGTTATGCCAGCATAAAAGTGCTGGCACCTTTTGAATGGGATATTTTCAAATTGAAAACTCATATTCTTAAAAATGTGCACGCATCTTTAACGTCAGAACACCACTGAGAAGGTTTATGTCGTGACGTGCGTTGGACAAGCTTTCACAAGCATGCAAGCAACATTATACAGTAGTCTCCAGCACAGCAGCTTTTGTTAAATTTTGCGGAAGAGAATCCTAAAAATTAGAATATTTTTTCGTATTCTACATTTAGACATAGTAATGTTTCTTAAAATGAATTTCTAACGAATTTCTTCTAATTTACAATACATAAGGCTTGTATTTAATGACCGCCATGCATTAGGGATAGCAAACAAATGACAGTTAATAAATATGGAAGCAGATTTTACTGAATAAGTGGTGAAGAATAAACTTGTTACGTTTCGTGAAGTATTGTTTTTTTTTTTTTCTTCTTTTTACATATAAACATGTTGTAGTATTTTACACCCACCCTTATACAATAGCAGAAACTTCAGAATGAAAAATAGGACTCAGATTATTGGTATTTTTAAGTTCCAAGCTATATATGTAGCAGACGTAATCTTCTTAATAGAATCGTACTCGATTCTCAGCCATTGTCACTTGCACCAAAGACAAGCAGCCAAAATTTGCAGTCAGTTTTAGCCACGGGAAGGACTTGTATTTAAATTCACAACACTGGCACAACAGGAAAACTTAGATGGTCTTACAGCGTAGCTATAGAAAATAAAAATACCGTGTTGTTCTGAACTTAAAATATAAACACTCGAATTATGTCCACGAGTATGAACTTCAGGCGACCACAGATATGGGCTACACGAAGTTCGGCTGTTAGTGATCAATAACCGAAACAATAATTACAGTACCCTGTACATTAAATAACTATCTATATGTATATTAGACGATCTCCGTCAATTTCACTGTTCGTGCGCATAAGGCATTATCAATGGACGGCCATCTGATGAAGTCCCATATAAAAATTAATTCTCGTAAGTGTCGAACTCATTTAACAACATACGAGGCTAGCAGTTTTCTTCACGTCACAAGGAAAGTCACATAGACTGCATCTCTGATGTCACTTGATATCTCTTGAAAATCTTTCCTTCGTTAGTGACACCCTAACTTTAACACAGGAAAGTGCCTAGTTTCTAGTTTACCTAATTCTGTTGGAGCAACTGTACACCCTAGCTATACGTCTTTTGGTGATACCTGAGGAATTCTAGATTCAGCATCACAATGAAAATTGTCCAATAACAGCTGGCAATGCAAGAACTACGACCAGGATATCTACTATTTTCATCATCGTCATCGCTGAAGTACACATTATCGATGTCACTCGTTTTGTTGCTCTTTTGCAGTTGGACAGGAACTTGCTTGGTAGTTTCGATACTGGATCGTGAAGTAGTTACCATGGATCTGGATTTGGTTGTGGATGATATTTCTGAGCATTCCAGGTCCAGCAAATGGACAATCTCCAAAGTACTGTTCTTTTCTTCTGTATTACTGCACTGCATTTCCTTAAGTTCTCGCAAGAAAAGGGGACTCTTGACCTCCTTCATATAGATTTTGACCCACAGCAAGCCACAGTCGCACTTAAATGGATTTTCTGAAAAGATAAAAAAAAAAAAAAAAAAAAAAATCAATGTTTATTACTATGTATATGTATATGTTATCAGCAAAGTATCAAACGCCGACATTAGAATGTATACAATTTTGGACTAGGCAAAGTATGAAATATGAGTATTATTACATACCTTTCCCTAGGCATTGTATATAATACATAGGCATTCTATAGAATGACAAATGCTATTTAGGCAAAGTATGGAAAAAGGATCTGATAAGGCTAATACATGTTACCGGCAGAGTAATAAAACGCCAGCATTCTATAGAATATAGATTATAAATAATTATAATTAGCTAACATATTATAATAATTATAATTAGCTAACATATTGAGCGAATCACCTCACCCCTTGTCGACGTCCAGGAATATGAACTCGCACAGTAGTTCCTAAAGAAGTGGGAAACTATTTTTCCGAATTCATTTTTTTAGGGGGGGTTGTATTTCTAGATACATTTTAGAATTCATTTTCAGCTTTGAAACAAAGGGTGCACAAAATATCCATTTTATCATCCTTACTAGGAAGGCAACAATAGGTACGAATTTTTTGACATTTTTTTTCATGCAAGTGCATCACTCTTTTCCTTTAAACACACACAAAAGGTATCAGAAACGGAATGTGTGAAATATTGAATGAATTGAAGTACACATGATATTCGAAACAAATCGGAAATGACTTCCGCAGTCAGACAATCTGAAGATATTAATTCTTAGCTCTCCTGAAAATTTTAGCTTTTAAAATCTGAAATGAAATATGAAAGTGTGCACACTCTTTATTTTTCATATAAGTTTCATTTTCTAAGAGTTAGTTACTGAAATTCACTAAGAAATAATATTGATATCTCTGGATTAGACTTGCAGGAAACAGATACCTTCATGGAGGACATATGACTCATGGACTTCATGGAGGACTTAAAAAACACCTGTTCGTATTCACGTTTAGGGAAAACCGTAAAAAGTTCCAGGCAGCCAGACTGTTCACCCAGATTGGAACCTGAATCGAGTTACCAGTGTTCAGCGATTTAACCACTTGGTCATTGGCGGGCTACCTTCTTTTCGACATGCTGTTAATTTATTTTTAGATATACTAGTATCTATGCTTTTCATATTAAGAAAGCCTTTTTTGTAATGAACAAGCTGCGTCTAGAATATTTAATTTAATAACTGACCTTTTTATAAAACAAATTACTTACAGATATATAAAGTTTGGACTGTAACATACTAATATTTAATGAGTTAAAGTCTGCATCACTGATGCGGTCAAATAGTGACCGAGTGGATAATATCGTTGAATACTAATAGATCAGTTCCTCGCTAATGATTAACTATACTGGTTTTTGATATTACTGCTTTCACGAAATCGACAAAATTAACAAATCTTACGCAGCATTTATTAAAAGCATGGTTCCAAATGCATTATTATATTTTCCTTCGAAACAGAAATAACACTTTCCTAAAGCCATTGTTAACATGGGTTCAATTCCAGGCGAAAGGGCTAGCTGTATCGGCGTTTTCGTGGTTTAAGAAGACATCCCTCCTCTTAGGCAGATAGGTCTAGTGTACATTGTAATAATCAGCTAAACCAAACCAGAATCCTCACAGAATAACTGCAATCCATATTATGACGAGTTATTTCACTTTAAACTTTCTTCTGTATATTTAACACCAATAACCGTAGCGTCCTTCAAGAAATGAGAAAGCGCTAATTTTTACTTCCTTGTACGAAAGAAAGGAATTAATGTAATCGCGAGTATATATATATATATATATATATATATATATATATATATTGTAGACACATTAGGTGTTTTTGGAAGCAGGAGTGAAGAAATGTGAGCAACGTCTTCGCCGGGAATCGAACCGCGGACCTATGGAATATGCGTCCAGCGCACGGATCACCACACCACGGAGGCATACCAAGAAGTAGGGAGAAATACCTTATAATGTATGTATACAATCACGCCCTTTAGATGGCTTAAAAATCCTTACCCGGCCTTTATTTTCACAATCTTGATCAAGTCATTTGTCTGCCTACGAGAAGAACAGACCAAGGACCAAAGAAGGGTTCTATAACGGGGCTCTTAGGCATGTAGCCTTTATCCCCACATAGTCAAAGAATTATCTTTATCGCCAAAAAGAGGGTTCCGCAAAAGAGGTAAATTTAGTGCCAAAATGTTAATTTAACAAAAAGATTAACTGCCTGCCACAGTGAAAAAAAGGTAAAAACACTGAAGAACTTAATTTAGTAATTTAGGTGTCGAATAAGGGCCAGAATCAATTTGGAGGGGTTACACCATGAATTTTGAAAAGCATCTACGTTTCCTTAATCAATGGTCATGTGGTGTTAACAACACAAGAGCGAAAACACTCGCGAAAAACTTCATGTCGCAAGTGCTTCGGGTCTGGGGAAGAGGAAAAGCGGGAACTCGTTAGGCGAGTTTGAATTAAAGAGACACGGCCAGCAATGCCTCTGAGGAGAAACTTTTATAAATATAATAAGACTGCATTAACTTTAAGTATTATGATAACTAATGAAAAAGCATTAAGTTCTCTTAAAGAGATTAAATTTAAATTAAGTAATCCTTGCACTAGAACCCATGTGCTTAGAGCCTGATAATAACCGCTTACGGTTGAAAGAAGTAATAAGATTGCCCGATTATGGGACAAAAGAGAGAGTGACCCTGAGGGAAGCTAAAAGATCAGCGAATTCACTCAGGCGGGGGGGGGGGGAGCGAACGAGTGTATTGAAACCTTCGAGGCACCTCGTCTCCATAGCAATTCTTCTTGGAAAAAGGAAGCGCATTATATGCGTTCTCCAGAATAGCTCTGGGTCTCTTTTTTGACGATGCAATTCCCGGATGATAAACAGGGAGGCTGTGGAGTACGGGGTTTCCGATCGAAGGAATCTTTTGGAAAAAGTTAGCCGAAAGTCGCTGTATAAAGCGATTTATGGAGAGAATTTTGGCTATGAGCTTTATAAATTTGCCTTAGCATAATGTTCTGAAAAATTTGGATATGTTTCCTGTTAGTAATTGCTGGTGCGTCCCAAACCGGGCTAGCGTATGTCAGAATTGGCCTTATCATTGATTTCTAGAGAAAAATCCCGTTTTTCGTGGACAGGTCCCTATTTCTAGCGAAAAAAGGCAGTAATTGGGTTTTGACAACCTTAGCATTGGAAATTGTTTTTTGAATGTGAGGTTGCCAAGTTAATTTTGAATCAAGTATCACTCCTAGATACTTATAGGTAGGAACCCAGGGAATTGGTTCTCCGAAGAACTGCAAGTTAGGTAAATTTGGGAAAGTACTTCGGAAAAATAAAGTATCAGCACAGTCCCGCCACAATATCTGGCGGATGGCGATCACTAAAACAGCAGGGCTAGTATATTTCAAATAGGAACGAACCAGGGGTTGCCAACTCATCTTTAAATATGCCAAGATGGCAAACTGAAAAGTAAATCTTCAAACCACCCCTACGGAAAATGGGTCAAGGCTCGTTTCTACCACAACAAACCGCTGCAGACTGACTGGCGAGAGTGTTTCTTATGATAGACAGACTGTACTTTCAATTTACAAAAGTGTTTTAAATGACGAAAATATTCTTGTTTTGGAAATGTCAAATTAAAATAAAAATTAAAATAAATAAATAAATAAATAAATAAAATTTTAAAAAAATTCTGAAGTGTTTCAGATTTTAAATTACGTCTAAAGGGGCGTTTACTTAACGTTTTGTGTGTTACCTTTATTTATTAAATATTATGTTCAACGTACTCAAACTATAAAATTCAGTTCAACAGCAATATCACAAATTAATTTTAAAATCAGTCTATTTCCGATACAGAGTTTCGCGCGCTGGAGATAATTTTTTTTTCGTGCAGTGTTGTCATTGCTCGCTTTGAAATCGTTTAGTTTTTTAATCAAAAATTCGTTGAAGTGTTATAAGATCTGCAATCGATAATAAAACAAATTTCAAATTCAAATTAGGGCTTCCACATGCCCATACTCTATGGAAGATTACGTTATTCAAATTTTGATGACTCTAGGTCCCTTTGTTTTATCACAATGCGAGAAACATACATACATTTATGCAGATTCTTAATTATTTAATTTCTTTAAATATAAACACATATGGTGGCAACGATAATAATATATAACATATGCTGGCAACGATGTGAAAGTGATGCAGCCTTTTACAGTTTTCAACGCAAAATGCCAAAACTAAATTAATAGTCCTTCAGGGCAAATTGCCCCTTGAACTCAAAAAAAAAAAAAAAAAAAAAAAAATCTGGAAAGTTTCAGGTTTTATATTATCCCCAAAAGGGCGCTTTTTCATTTACATTCAAATACACGCTTCGAGCGTATTTGGGCTAGCGTCCCTTTGGGCGAAAAATATTTAAAAACAACATATCTTAAAAATTTTCGATAGACAGGCTTAGAATTAAAAATGTTTTATACCATACAGTGTTGCCCTATTTTACATTTAAAGAAACTATATAATGAAGAACCTGCATAAATCTATATATGTTTCTCGCATAGTGATAAAACAACGGTACCTACAGCCGTCAAATATTTTGCGATACTGCTGCTAAACTGAATTTAATGGTTAAGTGCGAAGAACACGATATTTAATAAATAAAGGTAACACACAAGACGTTAAAAAAAGTCCTTTGGGACTTAAATCTGAAAGCTTTCAGATTTTTTTTTTTTTTTTATTTGTGTGAGGAGACAGAATTTATTTTCTTTCTTGAGCAACATATTTTCTTTTTAACCAACTTATTGTAAAAATGAAAAAGAATGTGAGTTCGAGAAATTATCGCTGTTTTATTTCCACTGAAACAGAATTAAGTTGTGTGATAGGCAAATACTAAAACTAATTAATCACTTAATTTTGTCCAAAACGCCTGTTTTACGAAATGATGCTTTATCACTCTTTTTAGTTACATAACCTTTGTTGAAATAAAATACGATTGAGGAAAAAAGCTTTAATA